TATTTATGAAGGTCTCGATGAGATTTCATTGAGGTTTTGTTTTGCGCTACCAATAGGTTTCTCGTCCGTCAATAACAATGGAGATTATTCCGTACTGTCTTTTGCAAATGGTATTCATAGCTACTTGTTCGATATTGGTAGCAGCGGGATCTTAGTGCGGTCATCTTCTCTTTGTCGATCCATCATTCCTACCTGCTAAAAGTTCGGAGTTTTTTTTGGTTTGAGAAGAGCACTTGCTTCGACACCACACTTGGGTTTTCTCAAAGTTTCTACCCTTTCATTGATGCTCCTCGTAACAAATCTGTATGATTTCCCAACACGCATGAGTTTCTCGAGATTTCATAACACGTACCAGATTATGTATCATCAACTCTCGATTTTGATGAGTAGCAGTACATGATGCTGAATTTCGTTTAATAAGGGAATGCAAGGTGTAAAATAGCAATGCGGCTAGACAGTATGAATCGGCAAGCTTGCTGATGGATGAGTGCGCGACAAAGTCAACTCCAAAAACATTAAGTGATGAAATTTTCACAGTTAATATGGTAAGCGTCAAATCAATTATTTGTCAAATGATAGTCCTCCTGTTCTCAATTTATTGAAAAGCTATTCACATGGCATTTCATGCAATGTGCGAAAACTACAAGAACGTAAACGTCGCGGTCTGAAGTAAGTGGCCGAGAGTTATGTATACATAATCGAAAGCAGACTCGTGGATTTGCTTTCACCTTTTTCTTTCTAGCTGGTATTCTGATTTTAACTCACTCTTTAACTGTACTATGCTGGGCCAGAGTAGGTTCTATAGTATCGCAAGATAGCAATGCAAAGGCGTTTTCAGATCCCTGTCAGAGGCAGCCGCCTTTCTTTATGGATCAAAGCGAGGCTTTCTTCCTCGCTCTAAGTTTTTTCGAGAGCGGACGAGAAATTTGCGATTAGTCGGCCGACCGTTCGACGTGCGATGTAACAAGCAGAAACATTCACGTGCTATAACCTTCAGAACAATGATACAAAATTTTCACCGAATTGAAACGAGCAAGACGTATTGTAATACAAAAGGCTGCCTTTATGACTTTAGAAAGTACGGCCCACTTTGTACTAACGGTTTGTTAGCTCGTACCTAGAGTCATCTCTAACAAAGTTGACAGATCATTGTGTAACAGAGTTCTTCTTACCGTGCAAAGTGTAGAAGGAATTAACAAAATGAATCACTGTATCTGTAAAACAGTAATGTACAGTAATGCAAAAAAACCATATTCATATTTCGAGCAAGAAATGACAAATTGTTTCGCTTTTCTGGATTATTAGAAGAAAAGGTCTTCAACTATCCTGTGATGGAACTGGTCATGAAGCTATGGAGACTCAAGAAATATTCGTTCAGTACACAACGGTCTTCTTGCTGCTGTGTAGTGACTGAACAGTCAAATTTTATAATTCTACAAAGACGAACAGGACAAGTAAGACAAAGGTAGTGATACTGTTCATCACGTGCACAACGCTAGTTCGACTACGTCCCGGGCTCATCAAACTCTCATCCTTTAGGGCCCTGGGAATTTGTGCTAAAGTTATCACAGCTTTGCTGACTTCCTCTAGTTCACGTAAGGACGATTTAGCATGGCATACCAAGACTCCAGAGGAAGCTGTCTCGATCAGCAGTCGCCGTCATTAATAAAGAACACGAAAGTCATCAGCGGTAGTCGAACCCATATGCAAAATCACGAGAAGCGTTGATGATGGATGCGAAGAAGCGAATAGAACGAATGAAGAGCTGGAGTCTAGGCAGCAGATGTGAAGGCGGGTTATGTAAAAATAAATAAAAGAAATAGGCGAAATATAACTTTAATGACGCTGAGCTTTTGCAAAAGTCCGGACAGCAGGTGTCTGCGGTGGTGAACGAGCCTGCTATTGTCGTTTCCGGGGAGTAAAGCGTTCACCACCACACTATGCAGGTCCCTCGTTTGCCTGTCTCTCAGTTAGTTCTATCGATCCTGCTGACGGGTGATTGCTGATGGCAGTCATCGATAGAACTAGCTGCGAAACAGTTGAAACGAAGGACCTGCATGGTGTGGTGGTGAACGTGTTACTCCCTGGAAAGGAAAATAGCAGGTTCGTTCCCCACCGCAGACACCTGTAGTCCGGTGTTTTGCTAATATTTCAGCATCATTGAAGTTATATTTCGCAATATACTCTGCAATTAAAAAGAATAGGCAGTAAATATGAAAAGGTTATGATTATATAAGTTTCATTAGCATAATTAGCAGGTTCGTCCACACGCTTATTATTTTGCTTTTAAAAATCTTTCAGTTGTCAGTGGAGGCCAGTAACACAGAGTCTTACGTAGATTAGACATGTGACTGGGTCAGGTCAAACAATCAGCACGAGGCATGACACGAGATCAGGTAGAAGGCACACCCACGCGGTTCATTTTGGGATTTTTAGAATTTATCCAAAACGCTTCAAGAGTTTTGAGCTCTGACACTTTTTATTTGTTGGCAAGGATCATACCTTTTACTTCAAAATCCTCCGTTATTGCTTTGTGTCCTATGGCCGTCCCCCAAAAGACGTTCGTCTCACCACTCGCTTTACAAGTAATCAGGTGCATCACACTCGAGCGCATGAATCGCACTCTCCACCGCCATGGCCAGTTATCTAATTGTGAGTTATAGACGGTTAGCCACATAAGCGGTTGCGAATTAGCTGATATTTTAGGTGTTCGGTTGCATTTTAATCACTGCTAGCTAATTTTGTAGACCAGCCTTTTTTAGAAGCTTTAATTTTCCTCTAAAACTATCCGGAGTGACTTTTTCTTTGCAGCCAATGGCTATTTGCTGCACCGCGTTCAAATATTACTCCTTCTGCTCTCCTCTGTGCAGACTGGAAGTGGAACGGTAAAGATCCATCCAGTTGGTTTGAATGATGATGTGTGAAGGAGAGGTCGGAGCCGTGGATTATGTTTTCGTTTAAAATTGGCTACTTTCCTACCGCAGTAATTATTCGGTATCCTGGCTATCTTATTGGTTTTCCACAAGCTTACACTAGGTGGTGTTTTTGGTTTTCACGAACATTCCTCATAGAAGGATCTCATGCTAGTAGGCCGCACTTGTCTCCCGGTGGTGGAAAGGAGTTAACTGTGGACCAAAGAAGACTTTATGCTTCCGTTAGAAGCGTGACGTTCAACGGGATAGACAGCCTGTTTTCACTGCGCCAGTTTGCATATACATTCTGTGTTCAAGAAAACATATTTATGTATGTGTGCGTGGATGTGTTCTCATTTAAGCAAATTGTATTCCATGAGGCAGTCTGGTCAAATGGCTTCAATCAAGTGACCGGGAAATGTTTGTAAGACGATTAGGAGTTTTCCCCAACAAATCAGGTCAATGTCTACTCTGGAAGAGACTGGAAAGCCACGAATGAGTATACCTAGCCCCACGTTCAGAGCCTAGTAGGCTATGCGTTGGTATCAAAAAGTTGATCACAGTAAAATAAATAGGCCTCATTCCCCAACAACGAAAGAACCCCCGATTCGGCAGCGTTGGGTAAGCGGAGTATGGAGAGACTGCTAGAATTTCAGAGCCATTCTAAGCTACATAAATCGCAAAAGACTAAGGCGATGATCTGTACATACAATGTACACACACTTACATTTGAATTCTCGATAGAAAACTTGTCCATGCAAGCAAAAGGGTAAAGTGGAACGCCACCGGAATGGCTGGGAAAGGCGTCGCGCGTTTACCGCCGTCTATGATACCGAAGAACAGGTGCTTGTGGGAATGGGCAACAATATTGGATTCAGCAGCGTCGGGATTCTCGCAGGCACGAGTTTGGCTATTAATATCGACTGATTCCAGCAACTAACAATCCGAATAGACCTTTTATGGCTGAATACACAAGGACTAGTAGTAGCTTTGACAACTACGTCGTCCACGCACCAGCGTCGAACTATGACGAAGGCGAAATCGAAGCGTTTTACACGAACTTGAAAAAGTTCTACAGAGAAGACCATACATTCCCCAAGGTCATAATTGAAAATTTTAATGCTGAGACTGGACCCAAAGGTCATCGAAGAAAGGACCACATTGGCACTCACGGAATAGAATGGAACGACCAGGAAGGAGCGACTCTCTGAATTTATTACCGATACCATAATCCGTCACGGTAACTCAGAATTACAAAAGCCCCCATTCTCAACGCTGGACGTGGAAGCCTCCCACAGAAAGCAACACAAGGAAATAGACCACCTCACAGTAAAAAGAAAGTTTTGCCTAATTGATTTTGCTGCTCTCTCAAAATTCTGCACAGTATCAGCCCATCACATTCATTGCGCAATGATTCATTTCGAGCGAGCAAAAGAAAAAGCCGGTAAGTTAAAAAAAAAAACGAAATCCCGAAACTAGTACCAACAGGGCTTCATTAAGATCACTAGTCAGCTTTTGAGAAGATGCCGTTATTGGTAGCATGGACAAGGAATGCGACCGGCGTATTCAACACATTCAGGTTAATATGTGAAGGCTGAGAGTTCTGAAGTCACAACGTCGCAAAGTCATCCTTCTCCAGAAACACTCGAGCTAACACGCAAATGTGAAATCACCGAGCTACAGCCAACAGCCAGTTCACGTCCGAACTTGCAAAATAATGCAGACAGGCGATAAAAGATGATCTCAAGGGAAGAACAGCAGTAGTTGTAGTTGAAGCTGCATAGGCAGAGAAACGCATTGGAAAAGCTAATCAAGGCGTCTCCAATTACAAGACCAAGATGGTTGCACGATGAGGCTCAAACAAACACCTACAGATTCCAAAAACATAGTGGAGAAAATCATTCACGATTACTACTAGGACCTCTTTATCAGCGATGTCCTCCTGCACTCACAAGAAGTGATGGAAAATGCATGTGTCCTCCCACCGGTTTTCGCTTTTGAATTCCGCAATTTTATTTGTCAACAATGGCGTTCTCGAGTTGGGCAACCATTTCCTAATCTGGTAGTTGTTTCTCCCTAGTAAACCCTTCACTCGAGTGGTCTCAAACTGGAATGAAAGAACACTGGGTCAAGGAGAGCCATGTGAGCAAGCACGGTCTCGAAAGCATTGAGCACGATGGACTGCATCCACGCGATAAGAAGACTCACTGCAGCATCACGAGTGTACATGAGACCGCTCTGCCTCGCTTTCATCTTTTTAAAGAAAGGTTTTGAAGCAGGGGTGTAGAGGTAGTGGAAGTCATGGAAATCCTGGACGGGCATGGTGTTCCAATTCAGTACACAGAGATTCTTCATAGGCTGTACAAAGTTTTCACAAATGAGTTATCACCAATGTATAAAGATATTAACATCATCTTCAAAACAGGGGCTAGACAAGGCGATACCCTCTCCCCAAAATTGTTTACCGCTACCCTCGAGAACGTTATGCGAACATTGAAATGAGATAACATGGGGGTGAAAATCGATGGACGGCAATTACTTTACCTTCAATGTTAACTTTTTATTTACTGCAAGTTACAATTTTTCACAACAGAGTATTATGTGTGATACAACAACAAAGATGCTGAGATGTTTGCAAAACACCGGATCGCAGGTGTCAACGGTGCGGAACGAACGCGCTATTACCCTTTCAAGGGGCTGACGCGTTATCCACCACACCATTCAGGTCCTTTGTTTCGGCTGTCTCTCAGGTAGTTCTATCGATCAGTGTCATCAGCAATCACCGGCCAAAGAGATCGTGATTCTATCACACATATTACCCTGCTATGAAAAATTGTATTAGGCAGTAAATCAAAAGTTAACTTCGTTGTCGATTTAGGCTCCCTAGATCAATTAAGTTGACGGATGATTACTGATGGCACTGATCGATAGAACTAGCTGGGAGAAAGGCGAAATGAAGGACCCGTATGGTGTGGTGGTGAACTCTACTGCCCATAATCTTTCTTCGTTTTGCCGATGAGATTGTTCTTATAAGACCGCGCGTTTAGCCATGGGGTACGAATGCTTGCCGACTTTAATAAAGCCTGTGGAAAGATTGGTTTTCGGCTAAATCTCACCAAAGTGATATTCCTGATGAACGGATTACACTTAGATGCCCTTAAAGCCTCTCTTTTACTCCTGCTCAACCCTATAGCCAAGTTGTTTATTATATTAACTTCTCAACTTAGATAGATGCAGCTGGTCCACTAGTTGTTACTGGGCGTGAGTGGAGCATTCGAAACTCATCCGTTCTCTATGGAAATCCCTCCCACCAGATTTACTCGGAGCCCAATCTTTCCACAATCGTTGCCAAAGTTGTTTAGCAATCGTTCGACTTTTCTAATTCGTTCTCCACTGCAGACACCTGCGGTCCGGAGTTTTGTAAATATCTCAGCATTATAGATGTTATATTTCGCAACATACCCTGCCGCTAAAAAGAATAGGCAGTAAATAACAAGGTTAATATTGAAAAAGTTGCGTTAATTACAGAGTACATGGAAGGGAGTTTTTACTTATTTGAAACATAGAGGTAAAAGCGTTATTAGTGCAAAACTCTTAAAAAAAACTATTTGGACTTGTAATCACTTCTAAAAGGATGAAGAGGGCAAGGCTTTCGGTGTTGATTGATCCCTGAGGGAGACACAATGATTTCGACTTCATTAAGCATTGTTGGAGATGATTGAGTGCATATCTGGTCTTTACAATGACTCTCGGTGGCCAACCGATGTATTGAGCTAATTTTTCTATTCTCCCAAATAGGTCTGGCACCAATTTGCAGACCTAGAATTGTTTGAAGACTTGGTGTGTCTAATGGGCGGGAAACGATCCTAAGCGTTTTGCAAGGCGCCTCGTACCACTGCGCTACATACGTCCCCGTAATCACTTTTAACGAAAATCAGTCTTTCTATTTTGTTAGCTGATCTAATATGAGATTCAACTGCGACTCAATTCTCAACATTGTTGCGAACGTTTTAAAAAAATTGAATACCTAACACCAGTCTTTTCAGACTTTGTTAATCATTCTTATGCTATACATAGTACTAACATATTATTACAATAATGTTACGCGATAAGTTTATTTTGAATGCATCATTTTTTCAAATACTAAAAGAGTCAACAGTTGTGCAGGCAGTACAGTGGTTAGAGGTGCCCTGCAATATGCACATCGTATATGCTTCCACCCCGCAAGCCGACATGGCCTCCCATACTTGGTTGCAAACTGGCACCATGCTTTTCTGAGAACGCTCTTTCCTGTGCATAAAAACTGGCAAATACCTTCTATGATGCTGAGATATTTGCAAGACTCCGGACAGCAGGTGTCTGTGGTGGGCAGCGAACGCGCTATTATCCTTTCCGGGGAGTAACGCGCTCACTACCACACAATATGGGTCCTTCGTTTCACCTGTCTCCCAGATAGTTCTATCGATCACTGCCATCAGCAATCACCCGTCAACTGGTAAATGCTTTTATGATCGAAACTCAGGAACACCTTAGCACCATTGTCACGGGATATCATAAGGAATGAATTCGACCAACGGTCAACGACGCTCATGACAGCACGTCAAATGGCAGTTGCATCAGCACGCGACATTCGTGAATTACGTTTGAGAAGCAAATTGAATGCAAGAAGTGGAGGGATGCGCACAGTAGACATGGGGAAGGCTCATGTTAATAAGCTAAGTAGCCCAACCTTATCGTTGCAACGCTGTGTTAATTTTATATTGTATCCATAGGAAGAAAATAGTTCTGTGCAATGTCTTCACAGGCATTTTTTCTCCGGTTCACTCAGCTTACTTATACATATCAGAAGTGAGCGGCTTCTGATTCTCCACACTCTTTCACCAATTATGTGAACACCGCAGGAGATACGAGTAGTTGAAACTATCTAGTCGCCCGACGTGGTTTTGTGTAAGACGACAACTCTCTTTGATCTTAGGTTTGATGGAAATTCAATGCGTTAAATTCACGGTCGGGCTACGTCGGTTTCCGATTCGTTTTTCTGTGTGGGCGGCAGTCTGTTTCGGCGACCGAGTCGGGACGCCTTTCCAGTCAACTGTTGTGATGGGTCACCCACCTTCATAACGCGATGGTATCAGTCTATTACTGGTGCGCAGAATTCGCAATGAAATATCGTGCTATTGTGATTTTTCTGATCTTTATCATCTTATTAGCGTTTGTGAGTTCTGAGTCTTTCTCATTTAATAAGCAGTAACAATAATACGTCCATCCTATCTATTTTTTTTACCAACAAGGAAAGCTAGGCATGTTTCTAAATAAAAAAAATCGTAGTTAATGATTGAAAGTCTTCGAGAAGCCTGTACGAACATATCTGCTTAAGCCCTTTTTCTGTTCTGCATTGGTTTTCACATATCTCTCATTCAAAAGAGCAATTGCAGCCCAGGTTGACCATAATTTGAAAAGCGCCGGCCAAAAAAAAGGCACCTTGACAAACCAAGATGGGGAAAACCAGTTCTTGTTAATGACCACATTGGAATGCATGTCCATCACCAGACAAAATATCAATCGTTGATTCTTTTTTTCCGGTCTTGATAGCAGTCACGATCCATGACTCCATTTTGGATATCAAAGTTCTTTTTTGATTCACTTAATTCAAAGCACACGGGAGTGTCTTAGTGTTGCAGGCATCGTCAGTTCTGCTTGATGCATTGCGCTATGAACACTGCGAGTCGACGTTATCATTTTTGCTGCTCTATCTACCGTTGTTCCTCGTGAACAACGTTTTCGTCACGCTGTCCGCATTCATCTACTGGATCGTAGCGGAGAAGAAGCAACCGACGCCTGTAAATCGGCGACCCGCAACAAGGTACATTTAGAACTCAATGAAAATTACTCCGAGCATGTTCTAACTTTATTATAATTAGACTCAAATCTATTACATTGACGAGCAGCACCAATAGAACGGAATCGTAGGTAACCGTCATTAAAGCTTCATTGACTCGTTCTCCAGACAGCGACTCTGTTTCTATAAAGATAATGAGCTTGCACTATTTTTTATTCGTTTAAAATTGTCTTAAAATGCGAAATGTCACGTTTTCTTTTTTAGATAAGTTTATGTGAAATTAAAAACAAAATCACTGCTGAGGTAACGGCTCTATTTAGATATTTCAGTGTGAATGTTTTGAATAAAACGCAATAGCAAAAATATACCGACTAAATGAATAAGAGATCATAGGCTGAGGATTTTCGGCGTTTATTATTTGATCTTCGTTTCCAGTTAGGGGATCTATGGTTCTTTCACTACTTGTTGGGTGCGTGTGACGCAGTGGTCGGAGGCGCTCTGCAACACACACGTAGAATCGTTTCCCGCACCCACGGCCCGCCGAGCCTTCCATCCCTCCGGGGTCGGCAAATTAGTACCAGACTTGTCTGGGAGGATAGCAGCACTGGCTCGATACATCGGTAGGTGATCGCGTCATTGTAAAGGCCGGATATGCAATCAATCACCCTCAAACGATGCTTGATGAAGTCGAATGCATGACGCATTTCTCAAGGATTGATCAACGCAGAGATTTATCCTTCTTCCTCTATTCACTACTAGTGGAAGCCGCCAACAACTATTCTCTTGGAGAATGGTAAGCATTTCTGTATCGTGAATGAAGTGGCGAAATAGACAATTTGTGATAGCAAAGCGAAGACATCGTGTCAGTGAAATGACAAAGCAAATGTGTGTATATTAAAATCATTCCTGTTAGGATGGTGGACGGGGAATCCTAACTAAATTAATTCTAAAACTTTTTTCTCCGTCGTGCTTTACCAGAACACGTAACACTACACCTTTCTTGACCGTAACTATAAACATGAGCGAACAATTTTTTGAAGGGCGCAGCTTTTTCCCAGTGAGGTATTACAGGTAATTTTTTCCTTCAAATCATCTGCTGTTGGATGCAACTATCCTCCAATTCATAGCTTCGGCTAACTAGCATGAAGTGGTCAAAATCGAAGTTTTCAGTTGGATAAACGATAGCAACACTAGCGATCGATCAGTGTTTCGGAAAGAAGTCGCTCATTCATTTTACGATAATGTTCTCCCATGGGAATACGTGAAATTGCCGAAGGCTGAATACGTTTAATTCAGTTATAGACATTGGTTACATCTATGCTAGAACACTTACAATGAGAGATTATTGTCAAACTGTAATAAATACTTCAATTGTTGAGTACTTTTGAATATCCTTATACATGCAGCACGTTAGCCAAGCTTTGGAATTAGGCCCAACATGTGACTCATATATCTTTAAAAGGAAGATTGGGTTTTTGTAAGA